GGGGGGCATGTGCTTTCATGCTCCTCTTCTGGTGGGGGCGTGTCCTCTTCCCGTAGGGGGCGTGTCCTTTCCTTCCTCTTCCCGTAGGGGGCGTGCTGTCTTCCTTCTGTTCCAGTGAGGCTTGGGATGGGTTTGTGGGGGCCCCAGGGACCCTGGCTGGGCAGAAGCTAAAGGTCCTGGGATCCAGGCATAGAAGGCATTTTCAGGCATTACTTCACTGAATCCTCCTGACCATCCTGTGAGGTGGGGATTCTTGGCAACCCCATCTGACAGGTGAGGAAGTTGAGGCTAATAGACCTGAGGCTTGATTCTTAATCCTGGCTGCACATTAGAGTTCCTTCATTCATTCATCATAGGTTTATTGAGCACCCACTGTGTGCCAGGCATTGCTGAAGGTACTGTAAACAAAGCAGAAAGAGATATTCTGTGCCCTCCAGATGCTTCTATTCCTGCGGAGGAGAAAGGCAATCAGTAAGCTAATGATGGAGAGTGCAGGAAGGGGATAAAATTCAAGGTTAAGAGGGAAATGGAGGCACAAAAGAACAAATAATGTATGATTCCACTTATATGAGGTGCCCAGAACAGGCAAATCCATAGAGAAGAAAAGGTGGACTAGGGATTGCCAGGGGTTGCATGACTGGGATGGATGAAAGATTCTGGAGGTGAACAGTGGTGATGGGTGCACAGTATTGTGAATGTACTGAATGCCACTGAACTTTACCCTTAAAAATAGTTAAAATAATCAATCTTTTTTTTTTTTTTAAGATTTTTGTTTATTTATTTGACAGAGAGAGAGAGCACAAGCAGGTGGAGTGGCAGTCAGAGGAAAAGGGAGAAGCAAGCTCTCAGTTGAGCAGAGAGCCCAGAGCGGAGCTAGATCCCAGGATCCTGGGATCATGACCCAAGCCGAAGGCAGACACTCAACCGACTGAGCCAGCCAGGGACCCCTAAAATGATAAATCTTATGTTATGCATACTTGGGGATGAGAAAAAAATTTTTTTAATTGAGCAACAACATCTAAAGGAATGGAGTGCTGGTAGGTCACGCCTCCCTGGAGGCAGGTGACACGTGAGAGAAATAGATGAGGGAGGGAACCACGCGGATATCTGAAGAAGGGCAGGCCAGGCAGAAGGTATAGCAAGTGCAAAGGCCCTGAGGCAGGAGCATGGCCAACATGTTTGGAGACAGTGAGATCCCAGTGCGCCTGGAGCAGAGAGACCTAGGGAGAAGGAAGTAAGAGATGATTATTGCCTGGAGGAACGGGAGCTTTTCAAACATACCTAGCTACATCCCCAGGCCCCACCCCAGACCAACTGAAAGCAAGCCTGCGGGAGTGGGACTTCGGCATCAGCATCGTTTAAAGCCCCGCCCCCCCCCCACCGTGAACTTTAATGCACAGCTAAAGGATGAGAATCACCTCTCTGAGCTCCCAGAGAGAAAAGGTGGCGTACCTAGAACTTGAACTCATGCCAGTCCAACTCCAGAGCCCCGTGCTAATATCCTTGAAGGATATTAGTGTCCAGGGCTGGGTGCCCAGGTCCCTGATGATGTCCCCTCTCCGTTCCCCAGAAGTGCTACCGGGGAGGCTTGGCACAACATCATGCTTTCCTGCCTCAGCGGGAAGCCATGCGATAAGAACTCTGGCATCCTGACTGCCGAGTGTGGCAATGAATTTGCTTATTTTTACTTCGTTTCCTTCATCTTCCTGTGCTCATTTCTGGTGAGTCTGTGCACATGGGGGGCGGAGCGGGGAGGGGAGGCCTCTCTGACCTGGCTCCCACTCCGGGGCAGAGGTTTCTCTAGAATATGGCTGTGTCACAGATTTGCTCCCTCCAGAGCATCTCTGAGCCGGCTGGGGATTAGGTTAACCAGGGATTCTCAACGTTGCCACTGTTGATATTTGGGGCTGGCTCGTTCTCGGGGTGGGGGGGCAGGGGGGCTGTCCTGTGCATTGCAGTGTGTTTAGCAGCATCCCTGACCTCCACCCTCAGGTGTGATAAGCAAACATGCCTCCCGACATTGACAGTGCCCCCGGGGTTGGGGGGAAGGACAGAATCTCCCCCATCTGAGAATGGCTGGGTTTTACTGAGAGAAAAACTAGCGGAGCTGAGAGCTGGTCCCCTGGCCCGGCTGCTTACACAGGATGCTAGTTATGCCCCCCTCTTCTTCCTGGAGCAGTCAGAGCGAAGTCAGAAGAACAGAAACTCTCTAGATGTTGTAAGCAGAGGAGACTTAATACAGGGATTGGCTACATGGGGTTGAAAGAGGATTAGAGAACCCTGGAGTCACCAAGGATTCCTGGCTGCGGGAATTAAAAGGAAAAGAGGGGAAAAAAAAATAAAAAATAAAATAAAAGGAAAAGAGGGTGGATCAACCCACCCCGCTGCCCCTGGCACCATGGCTGTCTGCGGCCCCAGGACACTTGCAGACGGTGATGGTTTCCTGTGGTTGTGTGCCCCCCTTAACCAATCACAGCCTTCGGTTGTACGACCGCTGCCTGGGAAGCCAGAAAGTAGGGGTCGGCCACACCCAGCTACAGCCTGTTACGTGGGAAAGAGGAGGGTTCCCCGGATGCTGCTACCCAGGGGGAGACAAATCACAATGTTCAGTAAGGGAGGAACATTTGCAAAGGCTTGGAGGCAAAATGATGCAAGCTCCCTGTGTACCGAGGGCTAGAAGAACACATGAAAAGGTGTTACCAGGTGTAGATGAGGGCAAGAAAATTAATTCATCTGTCCGTCCGTCCATCAATCCATCCAGGAAATAGTTGCCGATTGCTTACTTTGTGCTGGGGCTGGGAATACAACCCACATGGAGCACTGACTTTGGCCTCGTTGGGGGGCTGGTGTGGGGAGATTTGGGTCATGGCGGTCCCTTGGGCTTGGCCCCCATTTCATGTAGCCTCTCCCCCCTCTCTCTCCTGCTCTGTCTCTGTCCATCACTACTGGTCTCTGTCTTTTTGTATTTCTCTGTCTCCGTCTTTGTCTCTGTCTCTCTGTCCCATCTCCATTTCGGCATGTTTTTGGGGCTCCTTGTGTGAGTGTGTGTCTCTCTTCCCCATCCCCCCATCTTTTTCTTTCTCTGTCTCCCTTTCCCCATCTCACCTCTCCCTCCCTCTCTCTCTGGGCCTCCGTGTTTGTGTGTTTGGGTATGTCTCGCTCTCCCCCACTCCCTCTCGGCCCCCGGGGTCTCCACAGATGCTGAACCTCTTTGTCGCCGTCATCATGGACAACTTTGAGTACCTCACCCGAGATTCCTCCATCCTGGGTCCCCACCACCTGGATGAGTACGTGCGTGTCTGGGCCGAGTATGACCCCGCAGCATGGTAAGGAGTCATCCGCACCTTCCAGCCACATTGCCCACCCTTCTCTGGCACTAGAGCCCACGAGGCTAGGTCAGGCCCCAGACTTTGGGGCATTGGGTGGCGCTAGCTGGGAATCTCCGAGTGGTCAACCTGGAGGAAAAAGATGAGAATCAGCGCCCTCACACACTACAGGTGAAATGGTTGGGGACCACCTGCCCAAGGCCCGGGCTTTCTGGGCGATGAGGAAAGGAATCAAGCATTGAGGATTTTGTGTCCCCCTCACTGAGAGGCCTCTGGATGGCGAGGACAAGCTAATCAGGCCCCGGGGAGGAAGCCAGAGGCCTCTCAGCCTCTGCTGTCCTGGGAGCAATAGGAACGGGGCCGGCCTAGCTCCCTTGGCAGATGAGATTGGCCGTGAGATCAGAGTGGTGCTGGACAGTGATCGAAGGAGACCAGGGCCGAAGACACAGAGCCTCAGGGTTTCTTGCATTGTCACGGTCGCAAAGGGAGCAAGCTCTTCTACCCTTGGGCACCAGAGTGCTCCTGACGGACTGACAGGTGGTGGTTCCAGAGGGTCGTTCTCCACCCTGTGCACGTGGGGAGCAGCATGAAGCTGCTCAGAGGAGCCATCCCAAACCTTGGCGCCCACCAACTACTAACTGAAGAGGCTAGTTCGAGCTGGGCTTGGGGCCTGGGAAAGCATTAATGGGGGCCCTTGGCAGCCTGGGTGCTGGAAGGGAGGCCTCAGGAGAAAGGCGGGGGGGAGTCCATCTTTGCTGTTCCTGCAGCCCCAGACAAGTCCTCCACGAGACTGAGAGGCTGGGGTGAGCCATGGGTCTGGGAGCTTGACTTTTGGCTGGTTCCTAACTCTTCCTCTTTTGATTTTAGGTCATAGCAGTTGGATGCTGTCCCCCTATCCTCTATTCCTCGAGCTCCCCCTCCCGACAGTGTAGTCCATGTAGATTGTGGAGAAGGGAGCTACAGAGAGAGCCCTGGGCCCTGGGAGGGCCCCCCCACCCCCCAGCCCAGAGCTTTCCCACACCCCAACCGAGACCCTCTGCCCCCAGTCTGTCTGGGAACAGCTCAGGGACCTTCCCTCATCCCTGAGTCTCCCCCAGCCCTTCAAAGCCAGGGGTCCCCAGCCCCTGGCATCATGACCTTGCTGCGTGCACGGGGAGCCAGCCCGTGAGCGCAGCCTGACCCCTGCCTCCACTAACCCCTGTCTTCTCCTTTCAGTGGTCGGATTCATTATAAGGATATGTACAGTTTATTGCGCGTGATATCTCCCCCTCTCGGCTTAGGCAAGAAATGTCCTCATAGGGTTGCTTGCAAGGTTTGAATTCCACTAAAACCTGCTAGCATCCATGGAATGAGTGTGGCTTGGGGTTCTTCAATATATATATTTCATATATATATATATATATCTAAAAAACAGAGCCATCTCTCTTTCTTGCATTAAACTAGAGAATTCTTAGCCAACAGAATGCAGTCACGTAGACTCGATGAAGCATGGGACATACCTCTCTGTTCCCTTCAGCCATTTCTGCTTGCTCTTAGCTGAAGCTGCCCATCCCAGGGTCTCAACGGCACCCCAAATCAGACACATCAAGGGGGGTCAGAACTGTGCATTGACCCCCCCCATCACCTCCACTCTCTCCCCCTCTACCCTTTGCCTCCCAAAGCCCCCAGCCCTCCTCCCGCTGCCCCGGCCCCCGCCTCCCTGTCTAGGCCCCCTCAGAGACCAGCCTCAGCCAAACCAGAGAACTTGACCCAATTTTTAAAATAACACTGAGCCAGAGCGTTGTGCCAGGCCCTCCAAAATGAGACCCCGCCTGTCCTCCAAGTCCCACCAGAACCATAGCTCAAAGTCAAAATTGAATCTGACTTTTCTCTTTTCTCTCTCTCTCTCCCTGCTCATGAGCAGTGAAATAATCTTTTTTTAATGACTTTTTCTTCCATTTTTTTCCTCCTGTTTTCCATTTATTTAAAACACCTATTTTATTGTTCTCTGCATCTTTCTCTCTCTATTTTTTCGGCTCGTATGGTTTTTTTTTTTTTTTTTTTTTTTTTTTTCTTTTTTTTTTTTTTTTTTTTTTTTTTTTTTCTTCTCTTCCGTTTCTCCCTCTTCCTCCAGCGACCCCTTCCTTTGGTTCTCCGTTCCCACCCCGTTTTGTTTTCGGTGCTGCCAGGGGCCGCATGCCTTACCCGGACATGTATCAGATGCTGAGACACATGTCTCCGCCCCTGGGTCTGGGGAAGAAGTGTCCGGCCAGAGTGGCTTACAAGGTAGTCTACCCTTGCCGACCACCGGCGTCGGGCACTGGGGATTTTTCAGCGCTGACCAGGAACAACCAGCCGAGTCTCTTTTTCCAGAGTTACTCTTCTTCTTCTTTTTTTTCTCTTTTTCTTTTTCTTTTTTTCCCTTTCCTCCTCGAGTAAATGGATCATGACCGTCCCTTGACTCTAAGCAGCACACTGTGTCCGTCTTTTCTGATGAGTGTGTCTTGGTGTTTTGAGACTCCATTATGGCCAATACGCCGGGGGGGAGGGGGAGGGGAGCCCCCAGTCCCCTCGGAACCAAATTGGACATAAACATGCTTCAGAGGAAATGCCACCTCGCCTCCTTTCTGCCCACCCAGAGTGGCCCCCACGCCCAGGCCCAGACCGGGGCAGGTACCTCGCGGCTGGGGGGGGTGGGCTTTGACCCCAAAAAGGCGAGGCCCTGCCCCCCATCTTTTGTATCTTGTGCCCCCAGATCCAGTGCCCCCCCCATATACACCTGAAGCTGATCTCTGACCTAGGGCCTTAGGGGATTCGAGACCTCCCAAGGAGTACCCGGAGCCTCTCCTCCCCCGCTCCCTCCCCCCAAAAGTTGCTTCCAAGCCCCCACCCCTATGCCACCCATTCTCCCCCAGACACCCCAACATGCCTCTCCATTGTTCCAGAGTGGGCAGGCAGGCCGCAGCTGGACCCCTGGACCGTGGCACCCTGATGCAGGCCATGCACGCTGCCTTGGCGGGGGCCTGGGGCGGGCAGGCACCATGGCCGACCGGGGGATGGTGCATGCTGGCTGAAGGAGCAGGGGTCCTGCCGCTAGGCGGCTGGGCTGGGCCACCCCTCCAGACCCCTGTCCCGGAATCTCCCTTGGCACCCAAGGACAGATGCTCTGTTCCCTCCAGCTCATCCACGAGAAGTTCAGGGATGACCTTTAAAATTGCCGCCCCCTCTACCAGAAAATTGCCCCATCATCCTATTCTCCCATCCAGCTTGGCCCCCACCCTGTGTCTGTGAGAGTCCTCCCTCCCCTTCTGTTAATGCCGTTCCTTCCTGTCTCAAGTTTCCATCCCCCTGCAACCTCATTCCTCCTCTTCCTCCTTTCCAGTCAAGACTGGGAAGAGGCTGTTCCACCAGCATCTTTGACAAGCCTCTCCTAGCACCTGTCCTTACTCTAGCTTTCCTTTTGTACCTTCTCTTGTCTCTGCTTGTCTGCATGCATGTGTGCGTGTGCGTGCGTGCGTGCGTGTGTGTGTGTGTGTGTGAGAGAGAGAGAGAGAGCATGACCCCCCTTCCGTTCCTGGTCTCTGTGCAGGGCCGCCAGGGGTCCATAAGGCACCTTTGTGCAAATTTGAAAAGGACACCCCTTCCACAGAACATTTCATCTGTTGGAAAATTGTTGTAATCCACCCATCTGGCAAAAACAAGAAACTTCTTTGTTATCAGCTGGAAAGTTGTCATTTAAATATACAAATCCATGATTTCTAAGACGGTGAACCCTTTGTGCAGTGCACAACCTGCACAGCTGTGCACAGCAGCCCAGTCTGTGTGTGTTTCTCTGCCTACCACCTCCCTCCCTGCCCTGCCCCAATCCCTCTCTTGTGTTCTGTTCTGGGTTTGCCATCCCTCTCCCCATCTCCAGCTCTGTTTCCTGCTGACGTGTGTCTGAATCCCCTAGTGAGCGCCTAACTCACCCTCAGCCCCCATCTCCATGCCACCTCAGCCTGGGCTGGTGCCCACCAGTCCAGCATCCTCTCCTACATCACCAAGCATGGGGGAGCAGAGCCCCTGCTTGGGACATGGGGAGTCTTTTCTTCCCTGGGCCACGGGAATGCCCCCTCACCCTTCCCCCCTGCCATCGCACTGAGCCAAGATCTGGACATGCCCCTGAGAAACACTTTCCACGGAGCTATGAATGAGTCTCGAGATTCCGTCTGCATGCGCGCCCCTGTCCCCCGTCTGTTCTGTGTGTCACGGCCTCGCTGCATGTCCGCGAGGGGCCGCCCCGTCAGCGGGGGCCGCCTGCCTCCTGCTTCTCAGAGGAATGACGTGGTCTGTGCCCATCTGGTCTGGTCTGGGCCGAGCCACGGGTGGAGGTGGGAGCTGGCGGCCCCCCCGGCGGCCGTGACCGTGGACCCCTGTGCCTGGCTGCTGCATGATCTGCTGCGATCCGCCTTGCGCTCTGCTTCTTTGGGGTCGGAATGGCACGGAGCCATCCAGAAGAACTCTGGGGCAGGGCAAGGAAGGGTCTGGGCCAACCTGGGAAATCTGGGGGTCCAGCGTGCGGGAGAGGGGAGGGCAGAGCCTGGTGGCCTAGGAGAGCCCCAGAGCTCTCCCCGCAGGCCACCAAGGGAAATCGGTAAACAGAGCGTAGGGGACAGGTAACCTGTGAGGGGGGGGCACCTTAGCCACCGCCTTCAGAGTTCTTCCTGGGGCTCCCTGGGTAGTGTGGGTCTGGTGCACAGGGGACCGGGAGGGGGTGCCTGGCAATGACTGGCCCCGCCTTGGGTTTTCTGTAGAGGCTCCTTCGCATGGATCTGCCCGTGGCCGACGACAACACCGTCCACTTCAATTCTACCCTCATGGCCCTGATCCGCACAGCCCTGGACATCAAGATCGCCAAGGGTAAGGGCAGGGACGGGAACAGAGAGGTAGGACAGGATGAAACTGGGGCCTGGGAGGGGAGAGCCGTGGGCAGCCAGGGATCCCACTTGCCACCAGAAACCAGGGGCGCGGCTGCCGGGCCCTGATCTTCTTCCCAGCCACCCGCTCACTCGGCAAACATCCGCGCATGCTTTCTGTGCGCCGGCCACTGCTCTCAGTGTCGGGGCGCGGGGGCGTCCTCTTGCAGTGGGCGGGGCTTCCCCGGGGAGGGTCTGAAGGAGTCACGTGGACCCCTGGGGAGAAAGTGCTCCAGGCAGAGAGATCAGCAGGTACAAAGGCCCTGAGGTAGGAGGCTAGCCACCGCTGTGTTGAACCGACTCGCTCTCTGAGCGAGGGGGCGCCTGACCGGATTCACGTTTGAACGGGCTCCCTCTGGCCACAGGGCAGAATGGACTGGGAGGAGGTCACAGTGGAGGCCACTGACATAATCCAGGGGAACGCAGGACGGCTGACTAGACTCTGGATATGGAGTGTTCCGGTTCTGGATATTTCTTGGGAGCTGACCCAGCCAATGGCCGATGGAGGGGGTGAAAGAAAGAGAGGAGTCATGTCCACCCCCAGGGGTTGGGGCTTAACCACAAGAAGGACATAGCTGTTGTTGCCGGAGACAAGGGAAAGGTGGGAGGGGTAGGTTCGGGACGAAGGAAGGGCAGGAGGTCAGTGTCGGCCTGGAGACACAGTAGGCAGGGGACTCTCCAGCTTATACGTCCAGTGGGGGATGCCTCCCCAGGAAGGATCTGAAGGAGGCGAGGGAATGAGTTTTCCTGGCTGGGCTGAAGGTGAAAAGTCAGGAGGCATCAGACGCTGACAGGAGACGGACCAGCTCTCCAAGGAGATGAGTGTGAGCTGAGAGACCCCCCCCCCCGCCAAAACAGCCCGGGGCCACCGCAGGATTAGAGGCGACAGAGAAGGGGCGACCAGGGAGGTGAGTAAAGGCCAGGGTGGTGTGGGCTTCTGGAGAATGTCTCCAGCATGTCAGGCACCGCCCAGCAGCCAAGGAAAACAAGGACTAAGAGTGACAGCGGATTTTGTGACAGGCAGCTCTGGGGGAGGGGTCAGGCCCCCCACCACCACCTGGAATGGGGTTTGGAGGCCTGACAGTAGACCCGATGTGACTTGGCAGCCGATGGGACAGCAGGGCAGAGAGAGAGGTGCACGTGGGTCGTCGGGGGGCAAGGGGGCTGACAGAAGGCTGAGCGCATCGTCCAGCACTGGGCTGGAAATCGGGGGGGGGGTGGCTAAAGAGAGAGGTCAGGGCTCTACCAGCTGAAGCCACCGGGAGGTCAAGAGGAAGGAAGACGGAACTTCAGGGACCCGCATTCCTTCCAGGGTCCCGAGGGGAAGAGGGCGAGGAGGAGGCAAGGCCAGAAGTTGCTGGGGAGGTGGAAGGTTTTCCAGGAGGGAAGTCAGCAGCTTCCACTGGGACAGTGCCCTGCAGAGGGGAGTAGGTTGAGGACAGACATAGCCAGGAAACGGGCAGGTGAAGGTTCAGAGAGCAGAAGGAGCCCCCTACAATAGCAAGAGAGAATCAGAAAGAGCTAAGGTATGGCTCAGGGGAGAGCAGAAGTGGGGGGCGGGGATCAGGCCCTTGTCCAGCACAGCCTGGAAATTCTTCCTCATGCAGTAAGTCAGAGGTGAGCGGCTCAGGCCTGCCAGGCAGCTCAGTGCACGGCAGAAATCCGGGCCCAGGTTCTGGCTGTTTGTGGCTCTGCGCTCCCAAGACTGTTTCTTCATCATTGTGGTCGAAGCTCATCTAGGTCCCAGCCCAGGGAGGGGAGGAAGCAGAAGGGCAGGCAGCAGATTTCTTATAATCAAGCAAAAGAGTTATGTTCTGTGGGCTCATCTTGCCCACCTGCCCTGCCCTGTCCTCGCTGTAAACCTGGGCAGGTGATCTCACACTCTCCAAGCCTCAGTCCACATATTAGCTAGCTAGGCCATGTAACAAATGACCACAAACGTAACAGCTTAAAACACCCACTGAGTAGCTTTTAGTCCAGTCGGTCAGAAGTCTAGGTGAGCTCAGCTGGGCTCTCCACGGTCCCACAAAGCCAAAATCAAGCTGTTCACCAGGCTGGGCTCTTCTCTGGAAGCTCTGGGGGAAATGTGCTTTCAGGCTCACTCAGGTGTGGGCAGAATTCAGTCACTTGTGGATGTAGGACTAAGGGCCTGCTTCATTGCTGGGGTTCAGCCAGAGGTTGCACTTAGCTCCCAGGGATGCATCTCATCTTTTTTGTACTCCCAAACTGTCTGACCTCTCCTGCCACGAGCTGGAGAAAACACTCAGCTTTGCAAGGGCTCACCTGATTAGGTCAGGCCCACCCAGATAAGCCCTGTATCTTACAGCTGACATGGGACTTTAAATTACATTTGCAAAAGCCTTTCCCGGCAGTCCCTAGACTAGCATTTGATTGAATAACCAGAATCCTGGGGTGGGGGGGGGCAAGAGGCAGGGGCAGCTTTAGAATTCTGCCTGCCATGCTTCCCGTACCTATAAAATGTGTCTAACAGTGCACCCACTCTTGGTCTGCAATGCCTTTGTGACCCAGCTGCTGTTTCTCTCTGGAGACCTGTTCAGGGGTCCTGAGGGAACCCAAGAATCAGATTCAGTGATTCCCTAGAAAGACTCAGAACCGAGAGGCCCTGTTGGACTCACAGTTACAGTTTATTACAACAGAAGGATACTGGTTAAAATCTGCAAAGCAGAGGCACAGGGATCAGGGCCCAGGGGAGACCAGGCGCAGACTTCCAGGTGTCCCCTCCCAGATGAGTCACGTGGGCAGCACTGATGCCCTCGGCAACAGGGTGTGACAGCCCAGATGAAGTGTGGCCAACCACGGAAGCCCACCCGCGCTTTGGTGACCAGAGTGTGCATTGGAGGTTGGCCATGGAGGCCTGGCGGACCTTAGTTACTCAGACTCTGGTCCCTCCAGAGGTCACACTGATGGTGGGTCACACGGCCCAAGGCCCCCACCATAAATCCCATTGTTGGGATAAACTATCTTGTGTGCCCAAGGCCCTCAGATAAACCAAGACACTTTCATCACGCAGGACACTCTAAGGATTTAGAGGTGACTTCCCAGGAGCCAGTCAGGGAGCAGTCCTTTCTTTCTCGGAATGCTGAGTGGTCCTTTACCTTCTGTGGGACCCCAGTCAGGCCAGTCTCCACGACACCCCCCAGATTACCCATGTGAGGATTTCAAAGACTCCTGGGGATGTGCCTGAGTTTGGCTGTTGTTATTGTCACTGATACTCCAGACGCTACTCAGTTCCTGGAGGGTCATGCCCCCAGCGTCTCTGAGCCAGGGACCTCTCCTCGTCCTGACCTTGGCGAAGGCACCAGGCCCTCCCAGAGCTCCACGGGGAACAGCTGAGCCAGCCTCTGGGGTTAAGGAAGGTCCGCTGAGTGCTTGGGGACAACAGTTACAACAGTGATGACAATCACAACCTTTTTAGCTGACTTGAGTCTCCGGCGGGCTGAAAGTATAACACTTTTTTTTGTCCATCTGCTCAATTTACCTCTAAACATACTGAGCTCCTTTCCAGCAGGCAGAGGGCAGCATGGGAGAATGGATTAACCTCAGTCATTCAGATCCTCCAAAAATTGGGAGGCCATTCTTAGCTAGATACTTGGGAGAGAGAGGGCAGGTCCCTCTGCTCACCTCTGTGTCCCCTCTCAGTCTGTCCCTCTCCCTCCTCTGTCTGTCTCTCCCTCCTCCCCACCCCTCTGTTCTGCACACCCAGGAGAATCTCATCTTTGGGGAAAATCCTTCTCTCTTCATGTTTCTCTTTTTCCTGGATGTCGTGTCTGAACCCCTGAATTCTCCCTCCAAGGGACTCAGTCTGTGTCCCTTCATTGCCCCCCTGCCCTCCTGCTCCCCCTGGCCGGGCTTCGAGGGCAGAGCCAACCACCTGCCTGAACAGACAGAAACCCAATTAGCAGATCCAAACCCACTCAGACTTCCGCGGAGAGCACACGAGAGCTGTAGAAACACGGAGCCACCGTGTGCTACCAGCCCGGACAGGTGGGGCGGGGGGTGCATGGAGAAAAGATAAACCCAGAGCCAACTAGTACCAGACATCTCTGCACCTGCCTGGCATCCCCCGTTCCCGCGTGGTCCTCAGCCCTGACATGCCAGTGGTTGTGGGGGGACCTCAGCTTCCCAAAACAGGAATGCCTCTGCCATTGTCTTAGAAAGGGCCACCGTCCGGGCCAACCCCACCCAGGGCCAGCCCGGAGCCTCATTCAGGACTCCACATGGCTGACCAGCTGAAAGGCCACTCTCCTGCCCTTTAACCTCCCACAAAGACCAGACTCTCTCTGCAGCTGGGATCTGCCAGATCCTGGAAGTTTCTCGGATGGGCCTCGTGGGAGCTAAACGGCTTTGCCCCGCCTGCACCAGAGAGGGTGACCTCCTGGCATGTTGCTATCCACCCAAAACTGCTGGCCATGTTGGCCATGGCTCACTGAATGAGAACGTTCATCGAGTGCCTGCTGTGCGCCCAGCCCTGTTGTTGGTATGTGGGACACAGCCCTGAAAGACACATGGGGCTCAGGCAAACAGGCAACAAACAATAAGCATGATAAATACGTGGAGTATGTAACGTGTTGGAAGGTGAGGCATGCAGTGGAAAAGATAGAGCTGGGGGGTGGGGGCTGGGAATTCAGGTGGGGGGAGGGGCAAACCCTAGGTCAGCAGGGGGCAGTCCTGCCCCCAGGGGTCATCGGCAGTCTGGAGACCTTTTTGGTTGTCCCATCTGGGAGGTCGTCACATCTGTGTCAGTGGCATCTGGGGTCTAGGGGCCAGGGATGCTGCCAAATGTCTTGCAGGGACAGACCCTGAGCCCAGCGTCATGCAGAATGGGAGGCGGGAGGGGAGGACCCCGGGACGATAAACCCTGGGACACAACTGGTTTGTGGGTGACTGTTGCCTGCGTCCTGGAGGACCTCCTGGTCCTGCCCCACCCAACCCCCAGGTGTTAATAACCCTGTACGTGGAGGAGGAACAAGCCTGAACTTCAGCCTGGAGGGAGCCCCAGGACCCCAGCAGGAGGTCACCTTGGAATCCCCGAAGGGTTCTCCCTTTGTTTAAATGTGAATGACAATCCCGAATGGGAGACTCCCCAGTGAATTGAAGCAGAAAACAGTCGGAGGTGGTGGTTCTCAACCAAGGGACAGTTCTGTCCCCCAGGGGACACTTGGCAATGTCTGGGGATGGTTTGGTTGTCAGGACTTGGGGAAGGAGGTGCCACTGGTACCTAGAACATGGAGGCCAGGGAGGCTGCTCGCCACCCTACAATGCATGGGACGACCCCCAAACCAAGAATGATCCCTCCCCAAGTGTCCACGGTGCTAACTAGGTTGAGAAACCCTGCCCAGACTCCCTTACCTAATTCACATGCCAAGAACGGGCACAGCAGTCTGCTCAGGCTGTCGTAACAAAATACCAGAGATGGGGCGGCTTAAACAATTTATTTTCTCACGGTTCTGGAGGCTGGAAGTCCAAGATCAAGGTGCCAGTGGGGTTGGTTCCCGGTGAGGCCTTCTCCTCGGCTTGTAGGTCGCCACCTTCTTGCTGTGTCCTCACATGGCCTGGTGCCTCTCTCTTATAGGGACACCAGGCCTCTGGGATCAGGGACCACCCTTATGACCTCATGTAACTTTAATTACCTCCTTAGAGGCCCTGCCTGCAAATGCAGCAACAATGGGGCTTAGGGCTCCAACAGGAATTTGGGGGGGAGACACAATTCAGTCCTCGATGACAGGTGTGTTCCTTTTCTTCACGAGGGACAAGAAACATATAAGCTGGAAGGAGAAAATGACTTTTAATAGGAAATGTCATGTTCTCTTTTTTCCCTTCCTGGGTCTCTGAGAAGGAGCCACACAGCCCTCGGGCACCTCACTTAGCTACAGTGGCCATCGGACAGAGCTGTTAATTCCAGCAGCTTCCCATAAGGAAAGAAAAACTATAGGTTAGCGTCAAGGATCTTAAGAGTTTAACTACGCAGGGGATTTTCCCAAGGGTCTCCCATGATAGTCCTGAACTCCCAACCTGAGTCCTGACCCACGAATCAGCCCCACCCCCATGCAGCTTGGCCCAAGTGACCACAGCCCCCTGCATCACCAGCGGTGGGGAGTTCGCCCTCTAGCGGGTGAGATGGGGAACAACATCATGAGGTGATTTGTAGGAAGAAAAGAAAATAAAGCGGAGAAGGGCATCCAAGAGGATGGGGGAGGGCTGTTTCAGGGAGGGAGGCCAGCTAGAAGACCCGTTTGGGTTTGGGCAGGGACCTGAAGGAGGTGAGGAAGGGAGTCACGTGGACATTCGTAGAAAGAACGATCCTGGCAAAGGAAATAGCCTGAGCAAAGGCCCTGAGGCAGGACCATGCCTGGTGTGTTTGAGGAACAGCGAGCTCGGTGTGTCTGGAACAGGGTGAGCAAGGGAGGAAGTAGAAGAACTGTGGGGTCAGGGTGAGGACTTGGGCAATCACAAGAGCCAGGGGAACAGCAGAGCGCGGAGGGCTCGGAGCAGGGAAGCGCAGGATTGACTTGAATGGCCACCAGCGCCTCCTGGTGGTGGAGGTGGGGCGGGGGCGGACACGGAGCCCTGAGCAGAGGCACCTGTCCTAGTCCAGGCAGGTCAGTTCCACATGGCCTCGATACTCTCACTCCAGAACGGGTTCTGAGCTTTACCAGAGTCACATGGGCGAAGATGAGCGAAAGCTCCAGAGAGTGCCTGGCAGACGTCTGGGCTAGGAGCAGCTCCTCAGCCGGCAGGCCCCAGGGGATGGCTGCTAAAACACTGAAACTCTTCTCTGCTGGCTGGCAGCCACTCTCCTGGACACCCCCCAACACAGTCCAGCAACTACAGGGTTAATATTTGGCCCAACCGGGGGCCTTCTGGCCCTTGTTCTAGCTCTGTCCCTCCATACCTGCTGGTAAAAGTTTGGAAAGGTGCCCCTGTGCCCAGAGTTGGAGGGTCTGAAACAGAAGAAGTGGGGGCCCAGTTGGTGTAGCGGTCAAGATGGAGGAGAACGTGCTCCTGCAACAAACAGCCCCGAGGTCTCCAACCGACTAAGATTTCCTTCTCACTCCTGTTCTGTGTCCTTCCTGGGTCAGCAGGGGCCTCTGTTCACCAGCCACCACGACAGAGTTTTGGAAAAAGAACGCAGGAGTGTCCCTCACTGGCCACTGAACGCCCTGGCCCCGAAGTGGCGGCTCAGTGCGCTCACGCTTCATTGGCAAGAACTCGTCACATGGCCTCTGGCCAAGCCCAGGGACAGGAAGAGTCAGGCTCCCGTGTAGTCAGGCACGAGGGACCAGGAATCGCTGGCAAAGAGCCTTAATGACCACCGTGGCCGGGGTGAAGGACCAAGGATCAGCAGTGGCTGGAGGTCACGTCCATGGGAGGGGAGACTTGGTTGAGGGAGAAACCTCCCCTATCAGGACTGCTCTGGGACAGCCCAGCCTCTCCGAGGCTCACCCCGGGCCCCCCTCAGACCCCTGGGCTGCTGTTGTAGTAATCTTACGGCAGACACCGTCCTAAGGCTACACACATATTAACTGCTTTGATCTTCAAAACATTCGGTGAGGTGGGTCCTACTGCTGTCGTCCCATTCTGCAGATGGGAAAACTGAGGCACACAGTGGTAGACTAATACCTGAGCCACGCAGGTTGGGACCTGCGCCATCTAGCTCCTCCTGATGCTGACATCCCCCCCACCCCCAGCCACCCTGCAGCCACTCCACAGCCCTGGCCCCGCCACGGACCAGAGCCCACATGGTCATTCCTCGTCTGGGACAGGCCCACAGGGAACTGGTGACCCATGGGAAGCAGGACTCCAGGGCCTGAGTTGGCAGGAGCTGCTGGCTTTGCATCTGCCCCGGAGGCCGACACCCAGGCAGGCAGTCAGGGAGGGCCTCTCTCTGCCCACGTTGCAGGCGGAGCCGACAAGCAGCAGATGGACGCGGAGCTGAGGAAAGAGATGATGGCCATCTGGCCCAACCTGTCCCAGAAGACGCTGGACCTGCTGGTCACCCCTCACAAGTGTAAGAGCCGCGCCTAGCCGGGCCCTGGGCTCTGCCCTGCCAGGATGGGAGGGGGCGGGGGGAGAGGAGGCAGGTGCAGGGCCGAGGCTGGTGCATACAGGGCCCCCGCCCACGGGGAGCTTGCCCTGTGCCCCCAGCCACAGACCTGACCGTGGGCAAGATCTATGCAGCCATGATGATTATGGAGTACTACCGGCAGAGCAAGGCCAAGAAGCTGCAGGCCCTGCGCGAGGAGCAGGTACGGCCCTGGGCCCTGGCGCCCTCCTCTCGGGTGCCCTTTGCCCTGCGGGCCCCACAGTGACAAACCAGAGCAGCGGGGTGTGGCCAGGACCCAGGACAGGTCACCGGAAAGCAGGGCCGCACCGAGGAGGCGGCCTGGATGAATTCATCTGTTCCGCCAACACTTACTGGGCACCTACTGTGTGCCTGGCGCTGTTCTCAGCCCTGGGGGTGCAGCTGTGAGCAAAACAGACCAGCATCCCTGCGGAGCAGACACTGCAGTTGGGGAAATGCCAACCATAATAAATGATGAACATGGCAGGAAACAGTAAATGCCGTGCGAAGGAGTGCTGGGGGAGATGGATGCAGTTTCAAACAGGTGATCAGGGAGGCCTCCCCGAGGAGGTGATGTGGAGCAGAGACCTGAAAGAAAAGGAAAGGGAGTGAGCCACGTAGATATCTGAGGGAAGAGCACTCCAGGCGGAGGGAACAGCCAGCGCAGAGGCCCTGTGGCAGGACTTTGAGCTTGGAGAACAGCGATAGGGCCCATATAGCGGAACACAGTGAGCAGGAGTGGTGGGAAGGGGGCGCCTGGGCGGCTCAGTGGTAAAGCGCCTGACTCACAATCTCAGCTCAGGTCTTGAACTCAGGGTGGTGGGTTCAAAAAAAAGAATGGAGATGAGGGTGGGGAGGCGACAGGGCAGACTATGTAGAGCCTTGGGGGCCCTGGGGAGAATTTTGACTTTTGCTCTGGGTCAGATGGGAACCGGGGCAGCTCCTCTTAGAGGAGGGAAGTGACCACATTCAGGTGATCGCTGGCGCCCTCTGGTGGCCATGGCAGGTAAGGGCTGGAGCAGGGAGACCTGGGAGGAGGCGAATGGCCTGGTCCAGGTGAGGCCGTGGGGCCAGACCTGGGTGAGAAGTGATCCTATTCTGCATGGACTTGCAAGGAGGAGTCTAGTGGACTGGCTGATGGATCGGACCTGAGTGTGAGAGCGTGTGTGTGTGTGTGTGTGTGTGTGTCGGGGGTGTCAAGAATGACTTGGGCTGGGGGGCTGAGGGGGCGGGGGGAGTGTTGAGCGTCCTCTGCACAACCTCCCGGCTGTCTCTTAGCTGCAGCTTTGGCCAGACCCTGAGCCTTGAACACCCTCCCCAACCTACTCCCTGTGCCTCTCTACCCCGTGCCCGCACATTGCTCTCTGCCTCTCCAGAACCGGACACCACTCATGTTCCAGCGCATGGAGCCCCCGTCTCCAACACAGGAGGGGGGGCCCGGCCAGAACGCCCTCCCCTCCTCCCAGCTGGACCCAGGTGGAAGCCTGTGAGTGTGGCTCTGGCAAGGAAGTGGGGATGGAAGGGCAGGGGCACCATTCCCCAGTGTGGACACCCCTGGAGCGCCCACGGCCGCCCTGCCCTCTGTCCCCCAACACAGGATGGCTCATGAAAGTGGTATCAAGGAGAGCCCGTCCTGGGTGACCCAGCGAGCCCAGGAGATGTTCCAGAAGACAGGAACATGGAGCCCAGAGCGGGGACCTCCCACCGACATGCCCAACAGCCAGCCCAACTCCCAGGTGCCTCTGTCCCCCCCCCCGCCCCCCCACCGCCTCCT